GTGTGTGTGTGTGTCCTCCATCCCTCTTCCTCCCCCTACCCCCCCTACCTCCGCCCTCCCCACCATCCCCTCCTCACCCCCCAACTTCCCCCTCCCCACCTTCCCCTCTCCCTACCTCCACCATCCCCCCTTCCCCTCTCCTCCACCCTTACCCCCCTACCTCCACCCTCCCCCCTTCCCCTCTCCTCACCCCCTTTACCCCCACCTCACCCTCCCCACCCATCCCCCTCCTCACCCCTACCCCCACCTCCCCTCCCCACCATCCCCTTCCTCACCTACCCCCCCACCTCCACCTCCCCACCTTCCCCCCCTCACCCCTACCCCCCACCTTCCCCTTCCTCAACCCTACCACCCCCACCTCCACCTCCCCCTCCTCACCCCAACCCCCCACCTCGACCCTCCCCATCTTCCCCCGCCTCACCCCCACCTTCCCCCTCCTTCACTCCTACCCCCACCTCCACCCTCCCCCCTTCCCTCCTACCCCTACCCCCCCACTTCCCCCTCCTCACCCTACCCCCCACCTTCCCCCTCCTCACCCCCTACCACCCCCACCTCCACCCTCCCCCTCCTCACCCCGACCCCCCTACCTCCACCCTCCCCATCTTCCCCCTCCTCACCCCACCTTCCCCCCTCCTCACTCCTACCCCCACCTCCACCCTCCCCACCTTCCCCTCCTCACCCCTACCCCCCACCTTCCCCCTCCTCACCCCTACCACCCCCACCTCCACCCTCCCCTCCTCACTCCTACCCCCACCTCCACCCTCCCCACCTTCCCCCTCCTTACCCCTACCCTCCACCTTCCCCCTCCTCATCCCTACCCCCCACCTTCCCCCTCCTCACCCCTACCCCCCCACCTCCACCCTCCCCCCTTCCCCCTCCTCACCCCACCCCCACCTTCCCCCTCCTCACCCCTATCCCCCCCGCTCCTCACCCTTACCCCTCCTCACCTCCACCCTCCCCACCTTCCCCCTCCTCACCCCCTACCCCCCTACCTCCACCCTCCTCACCCGCTATTCCACCCTCTCCCCTACCTTCACCTCCCCACCTTCCCCCTCCTCACCCCTACCCCCTCCCCTCCTATCCCCTCCCTATCCCCCAAGAAGACGATTCGAGGCCGCGTCTTCCTCCACCGTCCCCGCGATCCGTTGGAGACTCGTTCGCCGTCCATCGCAGGCGAACCCGGCCGTGGCTTCGACAAATTTTGCGATCGAACGCGGCGGAGAAGCGTGGGAGGGAGGGAGGGGGTGGGAGGGAGGAAGGAGAGGGGTGGGGGGGTAGGGGAGAGGTGAGGGGTTGAGGGAGGATGTTGGGGGAGAGGGGAGGGTAAGGGTGGAAGGAGGATGTTGGGGGGTAGGGGGAGATGGAAGGAGGGGGAGGGGCTGGGGTGTGGGTAGGTGTGGAAGAATGGGGAGGGGGGAGAGCCGGGTGTAGGAGAGAGGGGAGAGGAGACATGTAGCAATGATGGGAAGTCCTCGTCCTCGTCAAGTTCTTTTTCCTCTTCATATTCTTGATTTCTTTCCCTTAATATTCCTAATCCCCTCCCTTTCCTCTTCTTCCTACACCTCCTCCCTCCGTCTCCTCCTCCTCTTCCTCGTCGTCGTCGTCGTCCTTCTCCTCCTCCTCTTCCACCTCTCTCTTCCTCTCCTCTTCCTCTCCCCCCCTCTCCTCTCTTCTTCTCTTCCTCCTCTCTTTCCCTTCCCCCTCTTAAACTTTCAACCTCCCCCCCCCCATTGCAAAATGAGTGTCATTCGCACAAAAGATGGAAATTTTGAGGGTGTGATAGTTGCCAGATACCGCAATTGTTTGGAATTTTGGAAATGTACCGCCACTACACGCATTTCCTGATTATCTATAATTGTTACTGCTAATTCTCTATAATCAGCTCCCAATAGTTTTGGATGCTGAGGAAAAAAAAAGTCTTTAACATTTTTCTTTGATTTTTTTTTTTCTAGAGGGGGAGGGGGCAAGGGGGAATATGTGGTTGTTGAAATGTTTTCCTTTTTTTCTCAAAATCTTTATTGGAATATCAGATGCTAAAATATAAAGTCAATTGGATTATTGGATTAAAATCGAAATTTGTTACATTATTAGCAGAAGCTAAAAAAATCTATTTAATTCATACTAGTTTTTTCGGCCATTTTCTAATATCTTTCTCTCATTACTAAAATAAATCTTTAGTATCCTGAATATCATTTACTTAAACAACAAAAAGAAAATGATAACTAAATAAATAGTTCCAATATACAGATGAATCCACGAACGCAGTACCGGATACCGCATGCACCCGGATTCAGCAACATTAGTGTAAACAAGACAACGAGACAGAGCATCTTCTTACAATATATCTGAAGGTATTGAGGCTTCTTCGTGGAGGTAAAGTAACACTCAGGGAACAGTAAAGTAACAGTGAACAGTGAAATAACAGTCATGTACTTCCGGTGTTGTTTTTTAGGCGAACGCGCGGAGACACGAACACGTTTTCTGTTTGTAAATCTTCCCCGTTTTCTTTCTGCCCCGTTTTCTTTCTTCCCGTTTTCTTTTTTCTCTTATTCATACTTTTTCTTTCTTTCTTTTTTTTTGCTAGGTTGTTAAGGCGCTTGAAGTGGGGTTGGTA